GCAAATGGAGGTGTGGCAAGCACAAGCCATTTATTTACAGTCTTCTAGAACACAAGAAGTTCCACTTGAGCCAAGAAGAACCTGCACTGTCAGAAAGAAAGAGGGGTGTGTGGGTGATTCCTTGCAGTATTAGGTCACTTATCAGCTGTCGATCTTCAAATGACAAACACATCCCATTATGGCCACAGAGCATGAAAGTTCACATCCATGGAAAGGACAATGCACTTTCGTTCACCTTATCTGTTCCAGCCTGGGCTGCAGGAGCAGCAGCACAATTCTGACCTGTTCCAACCTCCCATCATTCTGTCCTAAGGGCAGGGATGAAGTCCTTGGATTCTAATGGGGCCAGCACTAGGAGTCAAATCTTTTAGAGACAGAATACGAAATTCCTCCAAAGGTCGGAGTGAAAACTCTCCATGAAAGTGAAATGCTGTTGAGGCCATTTTCGGACTATCCAGGGTCACATCTCCTGTCACTAGTAGGTTTCAGTAGAGACAGCTGAGAGGTTCAAGTCTAAGTGACTAGGTGCCCTTTCTTTTCATTACTCTGCCTGGGCCTGTCCTTGCCACGTGAGCAGTAAACACTTGAAAGTCTCTATAAATATGTAGCTATTATGAGTCACTTAAAAAGCAAAACAAAAGAATAGACTTTAAAAAAATCCCTAGAAGTCTTGAGTGCCAAGGTTGGGGCTAGACCCTGAGGAGAGGGCCAAGGAGATACTTGTTCTGCTCTTAGTCCGGGACCTGGGGTGCCCTGTCTAGCATTGCTCCAGGAATGGACCTGACTGGGTTGGCAAGGGAATGAAGAAAAGAAAGACAGGCAGACACAGAGACAGAAAATGGGGATCATGGTGGAGGTGGTCAAAGCTCTCTGCTGGAGACACTGCAGCACTACAGAAGGACAGCGTGTTCATGCCATAGAGCAGAACAAGGAGGTGGGGTTTATGGTATACAATTGGATCAAGAAGACAGGTTTAACTAATCTTGGTAGGAGCCGTCTCTGTAGAGCAGTCTTCGGGCTATAAATACCAAAGCCGGGCGGGGCAGCAGAGAAGCTATGGTGGACATTTTCCTGCACCCCTATTTTTCTGCACCCCCTAGCAGCATCTACACATGGATCAGAGGAAAGCTTTGCCTTTTTCCTTATGAGTCTCACCCTGGTAGCTGGAAGGTTTCACTTTTCTCACGGGTCTAATGCCCTACCCATGTCAATATCACATACATACTCAGGGATTCACTCACTCCGGGCTTCCTCTACTCTCCACACCAGGGTGAGGTTCAAAAGCAGTCCTGGGCAAGCAACCAGGCAGGATACCATGAGAGGGGATGCAGTCCAAGTTTACATGAGCTCTGGAGGATGCTCATTTGTGTAGAGTCTCTGTGAGCTATAGGGGCCTCTTCTAAATCTGGGGGGATTCTGGGAGTAGGTATCCCAACCTTACTTCTTCTAGTCAGTGATGCCATTTTCCTCCATTTCTTCTGGGAATGAATTTCACAAGGACACTTTACCTGCACAGGCTTGAAGCATTGTAATCAAGGGAACACATCAAGGCACCCTTCAGGGAATGTCTAGCTACAGAAGTCTGTGTTCAAGGACATGCCACGGCAATCTATTGACCACCATCATCCACTGTGAAAGCATAGGAGCAGACTATGGGAGGGACCAGCTAGGAAGAACTGGTTCCAAGCATTGTGTGTTAAACACCAGCTGTGTGCTGGACTTATTCACATAAATCACCAGTTCCAGTTCCAGTTCCCACATTTCCCCAGTAAGGATGACAATATTTCCATAGTCTATAAATATAGAAACTGAGTCCTAGAGGCAGAGGGCAGCTTTCAGGGGATAATGGGTAAGTCACAGCCAGTAACAAAGGGGCCCATCCATAGGTTCCAAACAGAAAAAGCTCTTGCAATTGAGTCTTCAGAAAGTGGAACTGGTTATCACCACTAAGTGTACCTCCATGATTTTGAGTACTGACTCTCAGAGTTGTTTTTTGTTTTGTTTTTCTTTTCTTTAACCTACTTCACTCAATGAGTATAGTTCAGGAAAGAAGGGTGTCATTTTCAAAATCAGGCATGCCAGTTTGGAACCTAAGTTTTCTTATCCTCGATCAACCTTCATTAATTGAGGTAGTGCCTTTAATCATCAGCTTCCTCATCAGAAAATGGAGATAAAAATCTGACACTGAGGGCCGGAGAGATGGATCAGCTGGTAAAGTGTCTGCTCATAGCATAAGAACCCATAGGAGAGCTGCTGAGTGCAGTGGCTCATGCCTGTAATCCTAGTAAGTAAGGCAGAGGCAGGAGTATCTCTGGGCTTTACTGGCCATCTTGTCTAGAGGAATCAGTGAGCTCCAGGTTTAGTGAGAGATCCTGTTCTAATAAACGAGGTGAAGAGAGGGTGAGGAAAACACCTGATATAGAGTTCTGGACTCTACATGCACTCCACCATGTATATGCGCACCTGTATACATATGGACACACACATATGCTACACTACTCATATACAGACATAAAATATGATTGTGAAAGTTACATGAATGCATATACAAACTACTTAGTGTGTGGCAAGTGTTTAGTAAGTGCAACACTTAGTATTGATTACTCTAGGGATTCACAAATAAGAGAACCCGAAAGGTCATTTGCTTAAGGTCATGTGATTAGTTACAGAGCCCAAACAAAACTCTGACCAATCTCTCTTATACTCACACCTATGAGCTTTCTCCCCTAGGGACCCAGGATGACTGATTTTCACAACACCCACTCTGAGTCAGCAGGGAACACAGACTCCCAACAGCCAACCCTCTGATGGGAGGAGGCAAGTATGGCACATTAGGAATATTTTCTTTCAAAGCAAATACTCAAAAAAAAATCACTTCCAAGAAGAAACTTCAGTCACCTAAAACACTCACAGACATGGAGTAATTCCAGAGCCTTCAGTGCCCACATTCAGAGCCATTATGCCTTTTTTTCACATTTGAACTTATTAGAAGCATTAACCTCAGAGACTTGGAACCCTGTCAGGTCCATAAACATTGCTCCTTCTACTGTGGCCAGGCAGGATAATGGAAGGACATTTTCCTTGATGTCATTTCAGTTTCCATTTAGGTCTTGGAAATGGTGTTGAATTTGAGCCACACCATACGTTGATCGCCACAGGGCTGCTGATTTTGAGGCTGTGCTGTGATATTGTGCCCTCACAGTGTAAATATTTGTCAAATAAAGATTAACTAGTGAGGCAGTATATTCAGAATGACTGCATCTTTCATTAACTCAGTAAGGAAACAGGCTGGAAAGATACACATTCACTAAATCAGTTTGTAAGCAGCCATTGGATTTCTAGTTAATTTTTTTTTTCAGGCACATACATGGGTGCTTTTCACCAATATATCCCCTTTCCACCCTAACCTTGCTTATTGCAGACTTATGTTTGTCCTTTAACAGCCTGAGAGTTGCTATGATTTTCCACATGCAGGTGAATTTAGAAACATATCTCATGCATTCATTTTCTGCACTTTGCTCAGAAATAATAAATGGCATTACTGGAAAAGTGATTAGGGAATCAACTCCCTGGAACCAGAGTATCTTAATGCAATAGCACAGAGAATAAATGAATAGTTTACTCACAGTTCCTGGTTGGAGTAAATGCAAGGCCATTTGCTTCAGGGTACTTCCCCTAAAGAGAGGGGTTTTTCAACCCCCCCCCCATGTATTCTGAAAGTTGGTGCAATATCATACCATGAACTACTTCCAAAAATATAACCTTAACCAAAGTCCAAATTACAAATCACACCCAAAGGATTGGTATTTGGCTTTATGATCATCTAAACCTCCTTTGCAGAAGACCATGAATTGTGACGAATCAGATTATTACAGCCCTGCTCAGGAAGCGGCTTGCTGAAGCTGAGGGAAACCTAGGGGCTGTGATGCTGGACGCAGGATTCACTAGACAACATACTTTGAGGGAAATAGCAAGGTTGCATGTGTTTGTGGTGTCAGGCTGGAAGGTTAGATTCCCTGGCTGGGATTTGGAAGACCAGGGAAATCTCAGAGCATGTGGGGGCAGAACCCCCAAGCTGACGCAGAAGTGGTTACAAGGAGCCTCTCCTAGGAAAGCATCAGGGAGGCTGGGTGAGGCTTCTTTTCTGGGTACACAGCCACGTTTTGACAGAGCAGTATGACACTAGGACTCCAGGGTGCATCCAGTGAGAAGATGCATAGCCTTGGACTGAGAGTTCCCATTCCAGAACTTCCCCCGTGGGCAATCAAGACACTTATCAAATTTAGCACCATAACACACTTTTCACAGCATCACATGAACCATTCTCCACTGACATGGGGGAAAACATTGAAAACTTGAATTAGGCTTCTTACACAGATCAGGACAAAAACCCTACTGAAACTTGACATTTCTTTATAAAGACTGCCACTTACAGAAGTTTCCCCAGAAGTCCCATCAATCATGACCTTCATCAACTACACTGATGAGATTCTGTTCTCTGCTGCTGGCAGCCACAAGCACATGGAATTTCAGGCGCTGAACTTGACTAGAGGGAATTGGTAACTTTGATTCAGTTTCAATACACACTCTTTGGATTCCTTAAAGGCGGAGGGTGGAGGACCTCCTACTGGGAGGTGATGTATCTGAACCCAGCCAGCATTACCAGTTGTTCCCTGGGTGTTGAGACCCGAGCCGCACAAGGCAGCTATCTATCTGCTGCTAAGTGTAGCCCTGAGCCATTCCATCCTAAGCGGCGCATTTACCGGCCGTTCGGGACTGGACCTCCAGGTTGGCGGCCAAGGTAATAGGCACTGGGCTTCCAAGGGGTCCTGTTGTCTAGTCCTGTCAGGTCTCCTGGCGGCCAGAGCTTGGCCAGGCCCCACTGCATTAGCAGATCCTGCTCCTGCTACCTGGAACTGGGACTAATCTCCCGCAGGGCAGACGGTGCTGATCGCCCTCCCCGCTGGAGGATGCTCAGGGTGACGTTCCCGCAGTCCTACCTGGCCGGGCGAGTCCCATGTGCTCACTCGGGGGACCCATACGGGCCAGCCCCCAGCTCCAGCTCCGGAAGCCCGCGGCTCAAGGCTGCGGTGTTTCCCCGGCGGCTCCGGGCACGCACTCTCCAGGTCCTGCTCGGTGGAGCAGCCCGACTGCGGCTGAGTCAGCGCCCGGCGGCGGCGCGGTGAGCCCCGGGCAGCCGCTAAGAGCGGCTGTGAGCAGAGCTGAGGCCGCCCTGGCATTTTAAAGGCGAGGCTTGGACGCTGTTCAAGCGGAAACGCAGGGAGAAACTTCGGCCCCCAGTGCAGCGCCGCCGGCTCAGGGAAGGGCGCATTGGCTCTGCAAAAGTCCCTCTGTGAGGCGGGAAAGCAAAAACCAGACCCCCACACCATAAAGCTTTCCTGCGAGCATCCCATTGCCTTATGCTCAGTACCTACAAAGACATGGCCATTAAAGTTAGGGATGAGCCTGGGAGGCCAGTTTGGAAAGTCTGCTGGAGCAATTAGGGAAGAGAAAGGAGGAGAAAGAAGGCAATGAAGTATAAATGACTGAGTGTGTCTTAGCGTATGCTGTGGGTTTAAGCTGGGAACCAGGAGGAAAGCAATTGCTGTTTGCAGGGATATGATTGTGGTAGGAAAATCCAGAGTAACGACAACAGTTACATAGTAGTTCTCCCCAATGAGCTGACAGGTCATGATATAAACACAACAAACTCACAGTGTTATTGTCAGTAATACGGATGATAAACTCTCTTTTCACTAACAGAGCAATCATAAATATCTGGAGATGTAAACTCACTGCTACATTAGTCTTGCTCAGGGCACTGTTGAGGCCCATTAAGTGAAAGCTATTTCCTTCTGGTAAAAGAACAAAATTTACCTCTAGCTTTGGGTGGAGACCTAGTATTCCAAGCTATCCAAAACAGGAGAGTTAATCCAGAGGCTGTGCCAGTCGGTTGCCTGGTAGTGAGATCACCACTCAGGAAGGCTAATTCACCTTAAGTCATGCTAAAGAAACTGGAGACATAATTATCCCTTTAGTGAGATAGTATGCTTTTCCTTTCTAAAGAACACTCCCCTGGAGTTGCTCACAGAGTCAGAGCCAAGTGGCTCAGCTAAGGTCTGCTTTTCTGAGTTAGAACTCAGAAAACTTAATTCCCGCCATTTCTTCTTCCTATCTCTTTCTATTTGGTACTGGACAAAGCTGGGGCAGGCTTTAACCCTGCGGCTGCTGGTGCACCATTTGGCCTCTTACAAATAGCATGGCTTTCTCTCTTCCTCTTCTCCGTCTTCCTCCCCAAAGCAGCTGCTGGTATTTATAGCCTACTTGCACTGGGGTTTTTCTTTTAAACTCAAATGAAGTTGTCCTCAAGCTTTCTTCTAAATATTTTTAAAAATTATTTAATTAATTAAGAACCCCAAGAGAGGACTCAGATGTCCTTAGTAACATTATCATGGAACATACATCATACTGGGGGCCCTTCTATTTTTGATTGGAGGAACAGAGGAATTCGACTCTATTAAGACACAAGCCTTACTCCTGGACAAGAAAAAGCAACCCTGTCACCCAATCAAGTCCTCTGTGTTTGCATTTCCAATGTAATTATTATCAAATTCCAAACAGATTTTTTTTTTTTGTAAGTTGACATGGTGACTTTAGAGCGGGGACCAAAAGGGGATGGGAAAGCAGTTCTGCAGGACACTACAGCAAAGAAGTGCTATTGTGTATTACTGCCTCAGGAGTGCTTACAGGCATCAGTGCATTTTATTCTTTACAACAAGTCCATGAAGCAGATGATGGCATTGCTGCCACTCACAGATAGATAAGCAATGGAAGTAGGTATCCAAGGTCGCACAGGTAGAGAAGAGGAGTCAGGGATTTGGTGCCTCTGGAATCTACTCACCTGTGTCACATCCACTACAGAGAGACAGTGATTACAATGTTACGGCACCGCCCAGGAGGACCACCCCTGGAGCAAGATCCACTGCTGTTGTTGGTTGTTTTACTCTTTGTTCTTTAGGGGGCCATCACCCAGTTCCCAAATAAATCACATAGAGGCTTATTCTTTCTTATGAATGCCCAGCCTTAGCTTGGCTTGTTTCTAGCCAGCTTTTCTTAAATTCTTTAATCTATCTTTTGCTTCTTGGCTTTTACCTTTCTCTATTTCTGTATACCTTTCTTTATTTCTCACTCCATGGCTTGCTGTGCAGCTGGGTGGCTGGCCCCTTGAGTTCTCCTTCTTTCACTCCTAGATCTCCTTCTATTTATTCTCTCTGCCTGCCAGCTCCATCTATCCTTTCTCCTGCCTAGCTATTGGTTGTTCAGCTCTTTATTAGACAAATCAAGTGTTTTAGATAGGCACAATAATACAGCTTCACAGAGTTAAACAAATGCAACATGAAAGGATGGAACACATCTTTGCATCATTAAACAAATGCTCCACAGCATAAATAAACATAACACATCTTAAAATAATATTCTATAACACACTACCCCAAGTAAAAATGCAGGAAAAATTCAGGGTTGAAGGTGGTACTTCAGTGAGTGGAACAAGCAGACTTTTGAAGTAAATTATATTGGAATGACTGTAGTCATAATCAAGAATATGCTTTCTATGTAGTTCCCTAGACCAAAATAGATTACAAATCACTCAAATGATGAATGTGAAAATCATGAAGCCAAGCAATGAATATATAGGTGTTTGTCATAAACTCGGGGTTCTGAAAGCCTTTCTAATGCATCATAAACCCATAAAGGAAAATGCTGATAGATATGAGCATAAAAAGTCCAAATGATCTGTATATAAAGAGACATGGTAAACAGAATTGAAAAATAAACAAGTTGGAAAAGTATTTACTATACATGTGAGAGGGGGTTGCTAAATTTAATTTTAAAAGCAAACCTTTGGTTAATTTGGATTTTCAGATAGACCATAATTCATTTCTTTTTATTTTGTTTGCCACAAGATCTCACTGGGTGAGCCAGGCTGGCTTGTAACTTGTTGGCTAGCTGAGGCTGTCTTGGAAATCATGATCCTCCTGTTTCAGCCTTCAGCTTGCTAGGATCGTCGGCATGAGTCACCATGTTTGGTCCCATGAGTTACTTTTTAGTGTGAATAGTTTCATTCATTGTGTATCCAAAAGTCAAAGTTAAGTGGTGGTCCTATATCTTCTCTGATAGCCCTAGTAGGACAACATTTTAACATAATTTGCGAATGTCATATAATCATTTAATTAAGACAGGATTAACCCCTGTCCCCCAAACAAGGAAAAGAAGAGAGCTGGAAACAATTTACAACAGAAAAACTCAAATAACAAGACGAAACAACCATTCCCTCTGTTGATGTAATAAATGCAAATAGGAAAATGTGCCTTTTAAGTAAAGTTGGAAAAATTTAAAATATTGACATTATCCAGTGCTAATAAAAGGTTCAGATAAATGAGCACACATTTATGAGAATGTAAAACAGTACAATATTTCTAGAAAGCAGTTTGTGAACAAATGCCAAATTGAGTACTCATTGTTCATAACAATAAACCAAGCAAATACATTTTCAGGCATTTTTTTCTAAGGAAATCATTGGGTTGACCTGGAGACCATAGCTCAGTGACTAAGAGCGTTTGCTGCTCATGAAGAGGACCCTGGTTTTCTCAGCACCCATATGGTGGCTCATAGTTGTCAACAGCTCCAGGTCCAGGGAGTTGTTGCCCATTTCTGGCCTCTGAGAGCCCTTCATGCACATGATACACATACAGGCAAAACACTTATATTTAATTAATTAATTAATTAATTAAAAGAAGAAATCATTGACCACTGGATGAAGCACATATCACTAATGTTCATTATTTTACAAAAAAAATGTATAATAGTGAAAAACTGGACACAATCTAGAGGCCTAGATATAAGAACTAGTTAAAATAGTTAAATGATAGTGTATATTGAGACTTTAAAGTCAGACAGTATGTTTTTAAGCACCTTCTGAGCATTCACTCATCAAAACAAAATGAAGAATTCTTCGATGAGTAGCAAGATATGGCTAGCTCCTCCGTTTTCCAGAAAACAGGATAGAGAATTAAGCAGGACATTAGCTTAAAGCGTTGCTGACCCTGTCAACTCCAAAGCATCTCTCTTCACTTCCTGTCTCTCCTGTCTATTATCAGTGACTCTCTTCATAATTCCACACTGACTTTTATTCCTCTCCAATTGATGAAAACGGGCAGTCCCCAGAGCTTTGTGTAACTATGTCAGTCACTTTAAGGAATGAATTCTGTTGGGTTCCACTTTAAAGATTTCTATGTCAGGGCTTTACAAACCCAAGTTGGAGCTTATGCCCACTGGGTAGAGCACCAGTTAATATAAGTGACATGTACTGTACAACAAACAGCCCCTAGTTCTCAGCTTCTGGAGACAGTGATCCACCCAGGACTCATGCTGTACATCCATGAAGGGTTGATTGTGGATTGGCTTCATGTGAGTAACATCACTTGGGAATCCAGGATGGAGAAGCATTTTCTATCTTCAGTGCTCTGGTCTCACTGGAGAGACAGGAAAGCGTGCGCTCAACTATGGCCTGACTCATCAAGTTGTTACCAGAGCAAGTCACTTGGCCAAGCAAGGAAATTATCTGCTTCCTAGAACAGCATTACAGCTCCACATACCCAGAACACTGGGACCAAGAGTTTGGGCTTGTAATAGCCAATGACATTGACCACCACAACTACTGATGGAACAGACAGTGTTACCACATCCTGACATGGCTGCATTTAAAAGAAGTGGAGGACTAGGGAGATGGCTTGGTTGTCGTGTAAGCATGAATTCCTGAGTTCAGATCTCTAGTAGTCACATAAAAAGCTGGGTGTGGTTGTCTGACCCTGTAATGCCAGCCCTGAGGAGGTGGAGAGAGGAAGATTAAAAGGGCTTGGCTAGTCAGCTAGTTTAGCTGAATCAACAAGCTTCAGATTCATGGGAAAACCCTGTCTCAAAATCAAGGTGAAGAGCAGCGAAGGAAGACACTGATATTGACCTCTGGTATCTGTATGTACCTGCTCACACATACACATACACACACAGAGTGAGAGCAAGAAAGAGAAAGGAGGAGGAGGAAGGGGAAGAGGAGGAGGAAAAATAATAATAGCAGTGGGACACTGGGCAGAGAGTTGTATAAATTTTGATCACAGTGATCATGAACACAGGACTCTGGATGAAATATAGGACTTGGAA